GTGTGTGTGTGTGTGTGTGTGTGCGTGTGTGTGTGTCTCTGTCTCTGTGACACAAACACAAATCAATAAAACTTGGCATAAGCTGCTTGTTTGTACTCAACCAACGATCCTCTTGAGTGAGATAGAACATAATGGCACGCAGGCAAGTAGGGCAGGGGGAGTGCGCAATGACGAGAGCGGAAGCAGCCGGAGCTTAAAATCTGAAGACCTTGGCGAGGACAGGTCAGCGCGGGGAAGGTCGCCATGGGGGAAAAGAGAAATGGGTGAAGCAGGTGAAGACGGGTATAGCAACAGGATGTCGAACGATGGAGACTGCAACGGCAGAGAGAGGAGGAGAAGGGAGGGGAAGAGGAAGAGGATAAGATCTCGGCGTACCTCTTTCGCGAGGAGCTGATCACGGCTCCTACGACGAGAGATCTTGGCAGTCAAGAGTGCTTCCTCGTGGCCCTCTCTCTCTCACCGCACGCCCACACCCACACCCACACTCATGCCAGTACATGCACGCATGCACACAACGAACACAGGCACACAGGCACGCACACGCGCAAGCTCTGCACGTAAAGCAGGAGGGCGGCAGTAGGCCTACCAGTAGGGCGGCGGCAGGGCCTACCAGTACCGGTAGGCAGATTCTAGGTCCATCTGAGCCGTTGGCCCAGTGGGGCCGGGCCTGACCGAGCATTTGCCAATAGCTGCGCCTCCCTTGTCATCTTCCCTCACCCCCATCGAGTAACAGACATGTCTAAGTGTCTGATCCCACACTACTTACCGTCTAAGGATCTGATCTCACACTAAGGGCCTCGTTCGACACCACTTGAACTCAAGGGTCGACGGAAAATTATTCGTTCCACCGCTCGCTAAGGGTCTCGTTCGACACCACTTGAACTCAAGGGTTGAAGGAAAATTCTTGGTTCGCCCCCACCCTAACCTGCCCGCGGAGTTGTTCCTACTTTCCTGCTCTCTAGTGCTAGCCCTCGAAACTCAAGTGCCGCGGGGGCAAATTCGCACTTGAGCTCGAGGTACCTCCCAGGTACCTCTCCAGGGAGCCTTGAGTTCAACTGCGAGGGAACGGCGGCTCCGACATCGGCGGCGATAATTTTTTTATTTTTTTTTGTGGACCGTTCCAGGTCTACCGGTTGGTCCAGCCGTCCAGCAGGCCTCTCAACGGCTCGTTGCCAGTGGTACCATCCGTGTTCGAGTGTGGCTTGTGCTGGGGGGGGGGGGAAGGGGGGAAAATGACCGTTGAGCGGACTGACCGTTGGAGGCGAGTAGTGGGCTGGCGTGCAGCGGGGGTGCAGGGCGGGTTGGGCAGCGGGAGGGTGTCTGGTCGGGGCTTTTCAAATTTGAACGGTGGTGGTGGACTCCATTCCCTGCATTTGCCTGCGAGTGTGATGTCGTACTTGACATGCGCAACAGGCGTGTTGTATTGTATGGCGTTGTGCACCAATGACGTGGCCTTCGTTGCCTTCAGAGCACGCTTGGCGTCTTCGTAGGTTGCCATCGTGTCCATGACGTCCCGTTTCATGGCAGACCATCTCGGGAAGATTGTCGTTTTGTGTGTCGTCTTGCTGGTCCTTGTGGTCATCATCCTCTTGCACCTGTCTGGTTTGCTGCGCGGCCGTGCAAGGACAAAAAAGCGGAGGTTGCCGAACACGACATCGCATAGGAAGACGACAGCAATCATGGCAGGCGCGAACGGCCATGAGAGGTACACGTACGGCATGGGAGCAGGGTCGATGTTCGGTGATGGGAACGAAGCCCCACTCCGGTTCGACCCCAGTCTTTACGCCCATCTGCCACCCCATCAGCAGTCGTTGCCTGATGACGACACTTGGGCGCCCCCCTCTGCCACGTTGCCATTAGCGTACGGATCCACGCAGTCAATGTCGGAGGGTGCACGAACAGTGATGCGGGGTGCTGCCAGCGAAGGAGCGATGGAATCGCTCCTCTATTCTGATGATAGACATGGGATTTGCCCGCCGTTGGATCTTCAATTATCCTCTGGGGGCCAGAGAGCAGTCACGCACACTGTTCTCATCGATCACCCCAGCCAATCCACCGGTGACCCATCGGTCAGTGTGCAGGGAGGTCGCAGCAGTCGCAGTCATGCGAGCTATGCAGGACCGGCTACGACTATGTACAAAGGCGGTTGTGGCCAGCAGTCAAAGTTTAGTCTAGCAGTCGGGCGTCCATCAGGTGCGGCTGCGGGGGTGCAACGGACCGGGCGATCAGCGAGCTTGCCATCAACGACGTGCTGTGTGGAGAGAATCATTGCTCGAGTTTCGACGATGCGGGCAACGAGTGACTGGGAGCGTGAAGCAGAGGGTGACGACTACGGAGATGGTGCGGGCGATGGAGACGACATGGATGACGTGGAAGGCGACACAGCCGACGAGCCATCCTTGCAACCCGGTGCTCGAAACACAGGAGGTGGAGCACGAACTGGGGCCGGGAGGGGTAGAGGAAAGGGAAACGCGAGGGTGGTCAGTGCGGATGGAGGAGGCGGGACAAGTGTCGGCCGCACCTATTGGAGTCTGGACGAGTCCCTTGTCCTGGTGCGGTGCAAGAGGGATTACGACGAGGCGATGGCAGCCGTAGGGTCTAATTTTGCTATAATGAAAAACAAGGAATGGAAGTGGACGGACATCGCCAAAAGGATGTCCACACAAGGGGTGGTGAAGGAGTGGGATGTGTGCATGAAGCGTTGGGAGAATGTGATTGGGTGGTGATAGTGCACGAGGGGGGTGGAATGGTTGGATCGAGGGGGTTTCATTCTAGGGTTGGTGGGGCGGCGGGGGGGGTGTGATGGCTTTCACATCTCGCGAGTCCGGGGAATTTGGTGCAAACACATTGTAAGTGTCGACCGGATAGAGTTCAGTTAAACAAACCGTCAACTGCACACTCTGTGGATGTGTGAGAAGTGACACGACGACGTTCCGATCTTCTACTTCCACCACGGCGCAGGGTCCAACGTGCAACTTCCGTCGTGTCACTCTCGGTTGTTGTGTTTGTTCGTGGCATTGCTTTTTTATTGCTTTTATTTCACCTTCTTTTTTTTTCGTGACGACGGGTATCGTCGTGTGCGATATAAGCTCGGCACGTGTAGGGGTTGTGGACAGAGTTCTCCCGACACGAGCGGCTTCTGTTGTGTGGCGACGCGGAGTGGTGGCCCTTCACTTGCACGGATAGTGGAAGTTCATGCGATAGGTWCGKGGAGAGAGAGAGAGAGAGAGAGAGAGAGAGAGAGAGAGAGAGAGAGAGAGAGAGAGAGAGAGAGAGAGAGAGAGAGAGAGAGAGAGAGAGAGAGAGAGAGAGACCATCCACTTGCGGTGTCTGCCTTTAAACCATGTCGGTGAGCGACAACAATGGTCGTGCGGGTGTCGAGCAGGGGCCACAGCCAAGCACGAACACCCCGACTACAGGTGCGGGGCAAGTTCCAGGCTCCACGGCTGGAAGAGCGGAGTCGGCTCCGTCTACGATCGGAGCGCCGTCACCAACGACACATATCGAAGGGCTAATGGTGGAAGGCGGCGGATGGGGTCCTCACCCGACTGCGCCAGACCATCACAACGACGAACAAGGCGGGGACCTGACAGTGGGTCCGCAAGGATGGGCAGCCATCGCTGCCACCTACACACACGCAGAGTCGTGGACGGGTGGGCAGCTACAACCAAACGGATATCTATGGTCTCCGTCGACCATTGATGATGACGGCGGTTCCGGCGGCAACAGTGGTTTTGGAGAATCCGACGATGAAGGCGAATCCTGAAGTGCGGTGAAGGGGATGGACGTGGCGACTATGTCCACCAGTTTTTTTATTATTCTTTTTTTGCCCCGGTTTTACATCTTTCATTTTTTTCTTTTTTTTTCTGAGAGAGAGAGAGAGAGAGAGAGAGAGAGAGAGAGAGAGAGACGGTTGTGACAATGTGTTTTTTTCTTAAGAAATCCAAGTGTGGAATGTCAATTGCAACGGAATTGCGGAGTAGCTTTGGTGATGTAGGACATCGTGTGTTTTGTGCTTGTTACAACCGAGAGAGGCAGTTGAGGTTTCGTAAGGGATCCGTCCCTCCGTCGACGTGCTTTAGCAAAATTGTATGCAATTAGGGTTATGGTTGTGATGGTGTCGGCAACCGAAGACCAGCGTCTATTGATAAAGGCCAACGATTACTATGTGATGAATGAGAACATCTATACAATCATGAAAGAAAGAACTTGAAATCCTTTCTTTTTCTTCGGAGCTCAAAAACTTCTCATTTCGAAGAAATTTCAATTCGGAAAATAAAAAAGATGATATTGTAATTCCGACATTGTATGGTTGCTCATAATGAAGGTGAAAAAGTGGTCTATTTTTTGTCTATTCAATTGCATTGCACCCAACGTTCAGGTAGCGTTGGATATGCCACTGACGACCACAATGAATTGCACACATCATTGTTAATGGCCTTTCACATTCTTGACCACCACGACTTCTATTTCGAAAACCAATGTACTACATAAATCAAGCAACATACATCTAATGTACAATGACATTCCATAAATCGCAGAACGACGAAGCGGACAAAAGAATCACATTCAAAAACGAATATGCAAACAAAAAATATATTTCAAACAAAATCCAGCCTCCGTGGAGGCAGCGTCATGATACAATGGATTGGCAGATGGGTTCCGGGGATCGACACGGGAATGCATTCCCAGAAGGAGGAGGCAACATTGATTGCTTCCCGGATGCGGGAAGGATTGATTGTCTCTCTCTCTCTCTCTCTCTCTCTCTCTCTCTCTCTCTCTCTCTCTCTCTCTCTCTCTCTCTCTCAATGGGGTAGAATGGCCATACGTGCGCGGAGCGCATCCCTAAGGGCAAGAGTTGCGGGGTCCCCCCGTCTTTGTCGCACAGGTGCCGCCGGCGGATACATTCCCAGGTCCACCATCTGCTCGGTACCGTCCGCGTCCCGTTCCAGAAGAACCCTCTCATCGAAGTCGATTCTCGCCTCAATAAGCAAGTTATGGAAGATGCACACAGCGGGAAACTGTTGTGGCATGTTTTCCATATTCGTCTTGTGGTGGCGAAGGAATAGCCTCCTCATTCCCTTCAGCCGCCCGAATGCCCTCTCCACCACTCCCCTTGCTGCTTTCTGCTTCCCATCGAATATGGCAACGTCTGATTGTTGCTCCACTCCTCTGTAAGGGAAAACCATCCATGTTTTTGGATCAGACCCGTTGTCACCCAGAAGGTAGCCCTTCGTGCTAACGCCTCTTGGAAGAACGATGGGCTCGACGTCGAACAAAGTTCCAGCTACTGCCCGCTTGAACAATGATGAGTTCCACAAGACCCTAGCGTCCTGCATATTGCCGGGATATCCAACGAAGACGTCCAACACCCTCTAATCCAGATCAACGACCGCTTGTGCGACCACCGAATATTGTTGCTTCCGATTATAGTAGTCCTCCGACGGTGCGTTCCCGGGCTTGTCCACAAAGACATGCATGCAATCTATAGCCCCGAAGCAGTTTGGAAAACCCTTCGTCAGGGTAGGCATGGCTAACTTGTCACTGCCTTCGTCCGGTAGGCATGGCTATCTTGTCAGGGTATGCTACACGTCCCGTACAATGGTGATGTCAGTGGCTCTGCCAATCCCAAATGAGGACGTCCCGCTATCGAAGGTTTCCCCAGAAGCCCATTTGTAAAGTGCGTACGCTACGACGTGGTCCGGCTGGAGAGGCACATAGTAATGAGTCAGCTGCCGCTGAAGATACGGGTTGCAGGCGGCAATGATGCCGTAGAATAGGTCCTTGCTCATCCTCAACTTCTCATGGAAGTACTCCGATGTTGCGTCGTCTGATATGCAAAGGTCCCCCCACATTCCTCCCGTCCTTCTTCGTATCCACCAACGCGGACTCTCACGTGGGAGAACACCGACAATGATGGTGTTCGCCATCAAGAAAGGTGCGTCCCACAGAACACCGGAGGTCGCTGGCTCCACCATTGCCTGTTTCATAGCCACCTCCATCTTCTGCCTACATATCGAAGCACGCCGCCGCAACTCAGCCGTGGATTCCATATGCCTCCACACCGCCGTCAACGCACTCACCAGCAAACCCTTCTCCCTATTTGACAACTCCCTACGCGTCACCGCCTCACCACTCCCGTGCATGACTGCGCAGGGGACCTCGCCGCCACGCCGCATGCCAATGCTACTGCTTTTCCCGTGATGGACATCACTTCGTGGAAGAGACGACGTGCACGGCCTACTTGAGCCTCGGTGTGTGCAGGACCCACCCCCTCCAGCGGGCGCAACCGCCGGTACACGGGACGCCGATATTGGAATTTTCAAATAATGGCACGGACCCTCCGGCCCGCAATTGTCCCTCACGCCGCCCCAGGCTCGGGCATTTTACTAAACCACGCACCCATCAAGGATGACCCGCCAAGGACCTCAACCGCCAGGCCGCGACTGTCAGCCCCCGCGGCCGTCTCTAGTGCTGGCGTCTCTAGTATTTTCTCAAGTGCACATGGAACGAAGATTGTTGTAAGTATTTTTTAATCACGATTTCGGGATTAGGGTACACTTGAGACTCTAGGGTTTTCTAGTGATGTGGAACGAGACCCTAATGACCCGACAGTAATGTTTTTCACTTTCCTGCTTTGAAGTGTGCATACTTGAAACTCAAGTGCCACTGGGGCAAACTTGCACTTGTACCTCACAGAGGTACCTTGAGTTCAAGTGCCAACGGATACGGCCAACACACTAAGTGGGGCGTTTTTTTTGTTTTTCTCTTTTTCCAGCATGCCATCCTGGTCCAGGATTGGTCAAGGCGTGGAGTTCGGCTTCAAGTGCAGCCTGGTCAAGGGTTTCCTTAAGTGTACATGGAACCATAAATCGAGCAATTGTAAATTAATCACAATTTCTTGTTTAGTGTGCACTTGAAACTCAACTGTTTTCAAGTGGTATCGAAAGAGGCTCTAAGGGTTGTGCTCCACTGACGGTTCTTCAAGGAATTTGTGGGGCTCTACCTACCATCTTCTAGGAAATTCTTGGTACCATCACATGTAGTCTCAAAACCCCAGAATCAACACTGGGAGAACAACAGAGAACTTGAGCTTTCAGTAAATGCAGGGGAATCTTCAGTGAATGTAGGCTAAATGTGGGAAAGAGAAGAAATGTGAAAATGCCAGTGGAGCAACTCTTCAAGGGAAGTTCTTGAAGAACTGCAGTGGAGTACAACCCTCAGTAAAACTAGTGTTTGAAGGGATCCCACCTTTGTTCCGCACATGTAGGGGGCTCCGCCAACAACGGAGCGTAATGGAAATATTTGCTTGTGTGTCGTTTGGGAAGCGAACCACGACGAAAAGACTGGGGCATTTTGGAAAAGAACCCGGCCCGTAGGCGTTTTTTTATGGATTCCCCCCCCCCCCCTATGTCCATGTGGGAGACCTGGTTCGTCCAAGCACGCAAAGCCTCCGCGATGAAAGTGGAGAAGGCGGGACAGTGGGGACATCACCCATTTTGGGAACGTTGGTGCTAGGAGTCCCGCATGAAAAAAAGCACGAGGAGACCGGCACCTTGCTCCTCCGCGTGTTCTTGGAGACTGCAACCCTGCCCCCCTTCCAACCACAACGTCTTCTGGCATGACACTCCCATATCCTATCGTCGGAGGTAGCCAGTCTCCGTGCATCAGTATCTGCTGCATCCGCCGCTCCTCACCGCACGTCGTCATCACTAACACACCCTTTCCCGACATCCCTTTCACTCTCGCGCCTCCATAGCCAGCACATGATTGGTCCGCATCCGCCCGTGTGTTTCTGTTCTCTGTCCGTGGTCAATGTGAGGGCCCCCGATACGGGAAGCCAGCATGTCTATTTTCTCTCTCTCGATGTGAGTACAACTGTATGGGAAGCCTCCTTTTTTTTCCCTCTCTCTGCGGGGAAGGGAAGTTGGGCCTGCCCACTGCATTTTTACGTGTGATGCCAAAGGCCACAGAGTATTGTTCGCGTGACGGCCCTGCCGTGCGCTTATCCGAAGCTTGTCCATTGGACAGACCTTCTTCGATCCACGTACAATACACGCCTAAAAAAAAATGTCGCGACTTTTGAAAAAATACAGAATATACTGTCAGTGTGACGCCCAACCTCACGCCCGTCGCAACTTCCTTATCAGAGTGGGTATAGGTCCGGAAGTGCAAATTTTAGGAAAGTAGGGGTTGGAGTCCCAAGTTGGAATTGGGATCTCCTGTGCCGGGGTTCCAAGGACAGAAATGTAATTAGTTCGAGAGGGGAGGGCTTCAAGTTAGCAAAACATTGGGGGTCTCAGGGCCGGGCGCAGGGCCTGATTGGGCCCTTTGTCTACGTCGTGCCCACAGTGGGTGTCTCGTTATTCTAACACGTGGCACCTCCGATACTCGCAAAGTTCCAAGTCCGACGACGAGGGCCTTAATCGGAGACTCTTTTCGTGGTGCTCGGCTTCACTACGAGTTCAGAGGGTAAACCCCTGTGCTTGAAAGGTGTAATCCTGTATGCATTTAGAACACGGTGTGTGTGGCCGGAAGGGGGCGATTGTCCACCAAGGGATGACGGTTAGATTGTGATACGGGAGGACAAGATACTGAGGGGAACTTGATTTCGATGGTGACAAACCCCAAGTTGTAAACACTTGTAGCTTCTGGGAGTCGGGATACTAAGTGGGTCGAGTGGTTAAATCCATAACCCGTTGGATATCCCACTCACATATGTGTTCTTTCCCAGTTTGGAGGGGGAATTCGGGAAGACCCGATCGATCATGACGGAGAAAGTACTTCTCCGTCTAAAATTTTAAGAATTCACAGTCGGTTATTCTGAATGGAGTGCCGAGTTTCATGGCGGACTAGCATCTTCCCCATCTGGTTACTATACGGGGGAGTGGCTACATTAAGATCAATACAATGCCCATGCAATCATCAGCTGGCTTGTCCCGATCACATACCATCGATCCTTAATCCGCACAAAGAAAGTGTTATGTCAGTCATGTGAGCTTGTTTCTACATGCGCGTGCATGCTTGGCCAATGATTCCCGTAGAATCGCTTGTAACACATCCGCCCCTACGCAGGAACTAGGGAGTGGTGACGTGGCACCCACAGACAATGGGGAAATTCAATCACAATTGTTTTCTACACGCAAGGCCACATAAGCACGTATGCATTCATTTCCATACGCATAAACCAACACATTAAGTGCATAAATCATACATACAATGATAAAAAAGGAGACAAACAAGCAATAAAAATTTCATAAAGTCAACAAATTGAGAGGCAGAGGAAGACATGCAAAAAAGGAAAAGAAGAAAGAGATCCGTCAAGTTCAAAATTAGAAGGACGAAAATCCTAAATTTCAATTTGCATAAGAAGAAAAATCTATAACACTACTCGACCATATCTCTCACTCTTTTTCTTCTCATCAACACCCAACTCCTTACACGGTGCAGGTAGTCTGTCACCTCACACCCGCCATCAACGTAGAGTTGTCACCCCGCTTGGCCTGATTACGCAAGACAAGTTCACTCAAGTCCCGCAATCCGTCGCGCCAATCCGTCAACACCGCACAATTACCACCAGCTCGTCGGATCGCCCGGCCCCTTCACTATGCTCGTACTCGTTAGCCGATCCTCTCGACCACACTAACTCCAAGTTTATATTAGACCGTGATTATGTCACTCTTACGGAATATATACCAGAAAATGCATGCATGTAATACTCGGGATTATACAAGAACGGAAAAGAAGAAGAGAGGGAGTGCCTATGATCAGCATGCCCGGGTTGCGGCGTGAGGGACTTAGCCACTCTCCACGCATTGATTCTGGCATGCAACGCTACGGCCAATGAGAAGGGGATAAACCAGGCATATGCATGCGTGCAATAAGGACTTAGCCAAAATGATTATAGTTACACGCAAGAATCAAGAAGAAAAATAATTCAATTGAAACTAGGATTAAGGCGCAGTGGAAAAAAAGCGTAGCAATGCGCACGTGAGCAAGAGACAACGTGCAGTTGTTGCTGTGACCAGTCAAAATACAGCGTGTCCAAAATCCTATTCTAATTAAAGTCATAATTCCGAAGAAAAAATCCGATTACCCGCGCGGTTGTCCGCCCGATTCCCTAAGGATTCAAAAATTCCAAAAGTTCGCCGCCCCGCGGTTGTCCGCACGATTCCCTAAGGATTCTAAAATTCCAAAAGTTCGCCCCGCACGATGATTGCACCAAAAAAACCCTGCCCCAAGTTCCCAATAGAAAAGCAAAAAGGAGGGGGCCATGTCATCATTTTTCTTGCGTTTGCTAAGGCGCGTTCGAACCGCCAATAGTTGAGTAATCAGGGCCGGTGTTTTGCAAAAACGAAAAAAAAATTGGGGGCACATGTGCAATTAGCCCCATCACTCATACGCAGGCCTCCTAAGGGCCCGACGTTCATTTGTGTAGATAATCACGCGCATCAGAAAAAATATCATCACATCGGGACGGTGGGGTCTCTTTTTTCTTTCACGTCCAGACCACCGCTCCTCCTCCTTTTTCATTTCTTTTATGGTTTTACTTATGGTAAGTAAAAAGTTGTGTTTTCGTGGATCCCACCCATTTCGGCAGTTGCAGGGGGCTGCTGTGTCATCTTGGGAGTGATCGACGACAAAAGAATTTTAAGGCGTTTCATACAAGTTCCCGACCCATACCCTTACCCCCAAAAGAAGGTGGGATTTTATGACTTTTTTTTATGGGTGTTTGTTGCTGGAGCTGATTTGTCCATGCCCGCCAAAAAAATCCCGGCGGAACACTTGTAAGAGTTCCTCGACTTCCAGAACAGTGGGGTCTTAATTCTCTTTTACGGGCTTTCCGCTGCGCGTCCTTCTTTTCCGTTCTTTTACACTTTTACTTACGGTAAGTAATGTCGGACCAGGCCCTAAGGCCAACACTCTCCCACACACCACACACAACCCACCCACACTCACACTCACAGTCACACAGGTGTTGGGAGAAGACCCTACTGATGCCGACTATCTCAGCTGGTTGGCACCAAGCGCACCGCGGGCAGTCATGGGGATTCAACCCACGACCTCCTGAATGCCACTTGCCTGCCTGACCAATTGGGCTACGGTAGGCTGATGGATAGGTATAGTTTTTTTTTTCTTTTTAATGAAAAGAGCCGACTTCTCGTCATTGGGGAACAGCTATCTCGCCTCACATATTTTTTAACTGGCTTCTGCCATGTCATGGAACATACTCAGTACCATTACCCTACCAGTGGGCAGGCAACTTGGACCGAACAGCAGTGATAGGCACCAGGGCTGATAGGTTGCCCAGCTCTGGTGGAAGTGGAATCGGACGAGCCTTGTCGAACAGGAACTTCGGACGCCAGGCCCAGACAATCTTCAAGTTCCACATGCCCCAAGAGACTGTGGACCCTAGGTTCAGACAGGGTAGCACCCACTGAAGCAGTCTTACCGTCCTTCCCCTAGCTTACCCAAGGCCAGGTGGAACTCGGACTGGCCTGAGCGACTTACGCCCCTACCCTTACCCTAGGGTCTAAGCCTTATATATAGCCACCAGACAGTTCTGTCTGAATGTCAGTAGGAACCACACCCAATGGCACCCTATCCAACCAACCTGAATCTACTGCAGATACTAGACCCCACGCAGTGACTAGACCCCCCCAGCCTGATATTATAGTTGTATGTATGCACGTACCCGGAAACTTGTGTATGCAGCCTGTAGGCGGTGTAGTTCACAAGCTATGCGTATACCCGAAGGCCGCGTATGCTCTGTGAAGCTATGTGTCGAGATGTACAGACAGCATCATGTGTGGAAACTTGTGTACGTAGCCCGTAGGCGATGTGCAGTTCGCAAGCTATGTGTATGCCCGAAGGCTGTGTGTGCTCTGTGAATCTATGTATTGAGATGTACAGACAGCATCATACGTGTATATCGAGCACAGAATGGGGCAAGCTGGACAAGGAACCCCCCCATGGGATGGGAGGTCGTCTCATATTCCAGGATACCCGCGGCTCAAACCTCCAGGTGATTACTGTGCACTCAGTGACTGGCCTCTACAACACCCTGGACTTAAAAAAGAAAAAAGAGAAAAAGGAACATATCTTTTCCCTACGTACCGACCACTACTCCTAAGGCTATACAGCCCCCCCCTGCAAGCATAGCAGATACACAGGGTCCCCCTGCAAGCATAGCTTTCTACCTCTCTTCAGTAAATGCAGGTTACCTCTCTCGGTGGAGGGAGGTAACGGCATGTTTGTCCCTTTACCCTAATGGTTAGGGTGTAGGGTTGGGGCCGCCGGTGGGGGACCGGCTAACACAAGGACCAGGTTGGGGCCGCCGGTGGGGGCCCCGGCTAACACAAGGACCGAGCATTTGCCAGTAACTGTGCCTCCCTTTTCATCTTCCCCCACCCCAATCGAGTAACAGTAGTGTCTAAAGCCAACACTCTCCCACACACCACACGCTACCCATTCACACGTGCACTCACACCACACCCGTGTTGGCTGAAGACCTTACACCACCAGGACGTGGGCACCTGGGCCGCGTGTCTGACACCTCAAATTCTGGAGGCGCGAAACGAAAACGGGGCCGCCGATCGAGTTTATCAACGGCGGGCGGCGACAAGTTTCGGACTGCAAGGCTGGGGCCGTGTACTTGTGGTTCCAGCTGACTATCTCAGCTGGTTGGCACCGAGCTTGCCGCAGGCTGCTATGCTGATTGAGCCCACGACCTCCTGATTGCCACTTGCGTGGCTAACCAACTATGCGGATTGAGCCCACGACCTCCTGATGGCCACTTGCGTGGCTAACCGAGCTAAGCCGGTCCATCATTTTTCCTTTTCTTCTTCTTTCCCGCCCGTGGTTTCACTTGGCGTGGGGATTGAACCCGCGACCTCCTGACCGCCACTTCGGACAAGTCCGGCGGAGCCTTGTTGCATATGGGCGACGCTTGCCGCCCATCCTCGTCACCCGTCCTGCCTGTCGCACACTCCAATGGCTGACTGGACCTTGCTCGCACGCGTTTGAGTAATGCATTTTCTGCTTGTCGCACACTGCTCAGCCTGCCTGCCCAGACGCGGCGTTGTCCCCACCGCGCCGCTGTTCCTGCTGTTTGACACAACAACAGCACTCCTTATGCACAAATGCGATTCTAAAATGTCCTCCCCACCCCAGCTGTGAACATCGGCTGCGAGTGTGAACGAGAAGCGACGTGCGCTCGCAGGGTGGGTGCGAGCTTTCCCCTTCCTCCATCGCGACCCGACCTCTCACCTTTGGTTGACCATAGCCGCCTCCTTGTTTCCCTTTCTTCACCGCCCTCGTTCTTTGTTTTTTTTTTTCTGTTTCTTGTTTGCCCTCTTTTCTTCTTGTCATCCTTATTTTCTTATTTTGCGTTGTCATGTTCGCTATCCACAACTCTACAAATGACCGGACAAAGAGAAGAAGATGAATATGAAAACAGAAAAACAGAAATATAAAACACATCACGCGAGGTGTTCACGCAGCATTCTCGGGGAAAAAAAGAAAAGAAAAGAAAAGAAAAAAGCATTCTCAGGTACGCAAGGTGGGCATGACGACGAAAACAGAAAACGAATGCTATGGGATCAGGGACCAAAAAGGAAAGAAGAAGAAGAAGAACAAGAAGGAAAAACGAAATCACCTTTTCTTCACGGCAATTACTCGAAGAATACCCAAAAAAAAAGAAGGAAAAAAAAAAGAGGGAAAATAGTAAAAAGATTACCAATCCCCTTTCGTTCTTCACAGACAGCAGCAGCTGTGAAGTGAGAGAGAAAAACTGCAGACAAACAGCAAAGTCCACACAGCACCCATAACCGTGATAGCCACGGCGCAGATATGCAACAAAAAGAATCTTCCCTTCCACGTTCCTTGCCTCCGGTACATCCATCTCTCTCTGCGCACCGCCTTCGGTAGGTAATCGTCATCCAGATTGTTTCTGTGTGTGTGTGTGTGTGTGTGTGCGTGCGCGTGCTCCTGACTGAGGTAGGCCAAAGGGAACGAAACAGACACAGATGCGTGGCGGGTAGTGTATTATACCCCTGAGGCTTCCATACGCATATCCAGTGTGTACCTGCAACGCAAAAGGGCGCTCCTTTTCCCATTTCTCTCAATAACCTTCGAGAAGACTTTTCAGTTGAAGGCATCGACATTTTGGAACGGGAAAAGGCAACACACGAGGAGGAGGAGGGGGAGGTGGCAGCGGCGGAGGCGGAGGAGGAGGAGGAGGAGAAATGTTAGATGGATGAAGAGGAGCCAGTAGATGAGGAGGGAGAGGAGGAAGATGATGTGGAAAAGAGTAGAAAGGGCAATGAATCGAAAACTTCTCAACTGCTAAAACGAAGTACGAGGATTGGCTTAAAAAAAAAGAAAGAAAAAAAAAAGTACTTGGACTGGCAACCCCGGGAGCCTTCTTCAGAATTTTCAGAAATCGTGGTTATCGCAATTGTTTTTGTGGTTCTGTTTCTCCAAATTGTTTTTGTGGTTATCTCTCCAAATAGCAAAGTATTCGTTCGTCGCACCTCAGCAATCTCGTATGTAAGGAGAATGAGCATGAGGGAGAGAAGAAGAGGGAGGTGGTGCAGAGGAGAAGGAGGAGGAGGAGGAGAAAAAGAAAGAGAGAATAGACCGACGAAAAGATCAATGAAAAAGTTTGTCAAGAAAGCAATCAAGCAACCTTTAACCGTTTCCTCTTATCGTCATCTTCACTCCAACGCCATCATCATCATCATCATCATCATAATACAATTATTGTCTCCCTCTCCTCGTCATCGTCATCGTCAATTTATTCTTTTGCTCTTTTATGAAGGACGACGGCCTTGAGATACCATCATCGAACTGACACGGCCCACTGTAATACATTATTGTAGTATTTGTATTTCCCTCATCTCTCTGCTTCCAGTGGAGTTCGAACTCGGGTCTGTATTTCAACAGTTCGGGGGTGCTTGTACCAACTGACCAGCTAGGTCAGTTGGTCAGCTAGGTCAGTTGGTACCATCGCCAAAATTTCAGCTTCTGAACGTGCCAGTGATCCCACCTCCACTGTGTCTCCTTCTCCTCTTGCTCCTCCTCCTCTTGCTCCTCATCGTCGATCATCTTTCTTATTCGGTCTGCCAGCGTAACCCAAGTTATCCTTAGATTGATTTCGGATAAGATATCAGTTCCGGACTCGTCCGGATACAGATCCGCACATATTGGATCACGTCGGGATGGCAGACAGATCCGACAGATTGTTTTTATTTTTATTTTTTATTTTTTATTTTACATTCGCAGAATCGAATTGAAAGTCCAAAAGCTTCACTTAATAACGCAGTGAGCTTCCGTGCACAACAATACAGATCACAATCCAACACTTCCACAAGGTGATATCACCGTGTGCTCAGACCAAATCAACCAGCTTTGACAAGTTGGTGAGACAATAAGGGACAAATGTCGTACGAGTGTGATACATTGAGAAAACAAAAATGTCACTGTGAATGGAATCCACGTGCGAGCCGTTTACCCACCACCTCCATATTCCCCTTCTATTTCACGTATCTCGCCAAGGAAACCGCCCT